CTCCTCACCGTATGTATGGAAAATAATCTTTTTGTGACGAACACTTGCTTTCGCCACAAGAGGATTCACATGTATACTTGGGAAAGAGGTGACGATAGAAGCATGATAGATTTAATAATTGTGGATGAAAGATTGAGGGGCGCAGTGGTAGATACGAGAGTTTACCGAGGTTCTAACGTAGAAACGGATCATTATTTAGTTTTATGCCGAATTAATGGTCTAATCAGGCGTTGGCGCCATCCATCGTCCGTGTCTACCACTGCGTTACAGCGTATTAGAACAGAAAGGTTACAAGATGAAAGTGATAAAAACAAGTTCAAATGTAGACTGAAAGAAAATATAAGTGGTTTGGATGAATTATGTATGAAGGAGTTAGACTTGGAGAATATATGGCAAAATGTAAAGAAAGGTTTAGTGGATGCAGCTACAGAAGTATGTGGTGTTAGTAAGAGAAAGAATGAAAGGAAAAATAATACGTTATGGTGGGATGATGAGATACGTATGGAAAGTTGAAGCAAAGAAGAGAGCATGGCTAGATTTACTAGCAACAAAGGCTGCTAATTCTAGTGGTACGAATGGTGATATTGAAAGAAAAAAGGCAGTCTTTAGACATCTTAATAAGAGAGTAAAAGAAGTAGTTGAAAGAAAAAAGCAAGAAAGAACGGATAAGAATGATAGAAGAATATCGGATAACTTCCAGGCAAATATTAAAATGTTCTGGAAACTTGTAAGAAACTGCCAGGGGACATTCAAAACAGCCTATGATGAATGCTATAAGAGACGAGAATGGCTATATTCTGAATGATGAAGTTTTGAGTTTAAAGAGATGGAAGGAATATTTTGAAAGCGTGTTTATGAGTCAGGAGACAACGTGTGTACTAAGTGAAGTAGAAACACCCAAAGAAGAGGAAAGAGGTAGCGAGGTAAGTATAGATGAAATAATGAAAGCAATGAAAAGCATGAAAGCAGGTAAGGCTGCCGGATATGATAGAGTTTCACTCAAAATGCTAAGGGCTGGAGAGGAAGTGGTGGCAGGCCTGCTGCACACCTTGTTTAATTTATGCTGGGAACTGAAGCGGGTATCGGTAGACCGGTGCAAAGCCGTGATAGTCCCAGTATATAAAGGAAGAGGGTCGCAGCAGGACTGTAAAAACTACCGCGGCATCAGCCTTCTTAGCATTGTGGGAAAACTGTATGCTAAGGTACTGATTGAAAGGGTCATGAAAGAAACTGATGAAGAAATTTGGGATGTGCAAGCGGGATTTAGAAAGGGAATGGGATGTACAGATCAAGTCTTTTCCATGCGCATGATCGCGGAGAAGTTTCTGCCAAAAACCAAAAGGTATTTTGTGCGTTCATGGACTTGGAAAAGGCCTATGACAGAGTGGATAGGGATTTGCTATGGCAAACATTGAACTCATTTGGGATGAGCGCTGGCTTGATACAGGCATTGGAGTCTCTTTATAGGGACTCTAGTGCTTGTGTTAGGATCAACGGGGTCTACTCGGACTGGTTTGACATCCATAAAGGTGTCAGACAGGGCTGTGTGGCTTCCCCGTAGCTGTTCAACCTATTTATGGACAGTTGTTTGAAAAGTTGAAGAATGCGGATTAAGAATGGGTGAGTTAACCGTCAAATGCCTTTTGTACGCCGATGATCAAGTTATTCTTGCGTCTTCGGCGGCCGAGTTGCAAATGATGGTTACATTAATGAACGGATCATTAAAAGAAAGGGGTATGAAAGTAATAAGAATAGAAGGGGAGTTGATCGAGCAAGTAGATGAGTTTGTATATTTGGGCTGCGTATTTAGCAGGGATGGGAGATATGATAAGGATATAGAACGACGAGTGAATGCGGGAAATAGAGTAAATGGGGCCTTGCACTCTATTGTGAAGAGTCAAAATGTGTCGAAAAAGGCACGTATGGCAATTCACAATGCTGTGTTGGTCCCTACTTTAGCGTATGGTAGTGAAAGTTGGGTGTGGCAGAAGAAGCACGAGAGTAGAATAAACGCAGTCGAAATGCGGTCGTTAAGGAGTATGTTAGGGCTGAATCTGAATGACAGGGTAAGAAATTGTGTAATAAGAGAAGAGTGTGGTTTGCAAGATGATGTTTTGACCAGGATTAAGAAAGGAATGCTTCGGTGGTTTGGTGGCATGTGGAAAGAATGAATGAGGAAAGAGTGACAAAGAAAATTTATGGTGCAGAAGTGAATGGCAGAGTCGGAAAGGGACGTTCTAGGCGAAAATTTATCGACCAAATTGGCGATTTATTGAAAACGGGCCAAATTAGGAGTACCCTTAACCGACGAGCATGTATGCGTAGGTGTATGGATGTGAAGGAGGCAAGAGAGGTGTGTCAGGATCGTGCCAAATGGAAGTCTGTAGTCTCTGCCTACCCCTCTGGGTGACAGGCGTGAGTGTTTATGTTATGTATGTTTATGTAGAGATCCGGATACCCTTTTTTACTGGAAAAAAAGACAATCCATCTTAGTCCTCAGGGGGGTGATAACGCATCTGAATTTTTGAATTTCTGAATTTTGTTAAATATAGATGACTATGAACCACAGCATCCACTTACCATCAGGTGGACTGTGTGCTCGTTTGTCATCCTTATTATATAAAAAAAACATATAGACTTCAGTCGAATTGTGAATCTCCTCCTGTTTTGAACTCAGTTAAAAAAACTTAATATATCCGATCATAACCTGTTTTGACCTTAGTGAGAATTAGGACATGGACATGAAACTATTGTAGTGTCATCGGTTCTTGACACGTCTGCAAAATTACAGACTATTATGAGAAACTAAAAAATTGCTAATTTTCCGATTATTTAGTAGAAACTAAAAAAAATCTATTACGTTTATTCGTCAAATCAATAAAAGCGTGTTCAAATTTTTTTATATAGAATAAGGGTGGCAAACGAGCACACAGTCCACCTGATGGTCAATGGATGCTATGGTCCATAGACATCTACATTTATCCTCGATTAAGAATCAAAATGCAGATGCGCTGTCACCCCTGAGGACTAAGATGGAATGACTCGATTCCGAACCCCATACCTCAATTCCGATTTCCGTAAAACGGGTCTCCGGTTCTCTACACTCACCATACGAAACACAGCAGCATTAAGCTGCAATTTTACGCTGGTATTCTGTGGGAGACAACCATAACATAGTTGAAGCGCGGCTCTACCACGCATAAAATTGAGTTTCTTTTGTCGTACCTACGAAAATTTAATTTAAATCAAAATTTTCTGTCTGTTGTTTAAGTGCTAAATTATAATTAAAAACATATAATATATTATTTCACACAGTTTTTTGTGCGTATTGGAAAAATACGAGTAATAGAGAATTTTGGGTCAATACTCACTAGGTTACCAACAATTACGCGCTTAGAAATATTGTCGCCTATTTGAATATAGACTTATATTATTGAAGTTAAAGTTACAGCCTATATACGTCCCATTGCTGGACACAGGCCTCCTCTTATTTTTGACAGGGTTTTAGGGCAAGGAAGTGTCCGCCGCGCTGCCCCAATGCGTTTTAGCGAACTTCACATGTCTTCGAAATATATATTTTTTTCTCAGACATGCAGGTTCCCTCACGATGTTTTTCTTACCGCCGAGTACGTGGTAATTCAGCACTTCAATTGCAATTAAGAATTTCATTGGTGCCGGTGGAGATCGAACCCTGGTTGCTCGCGTAATGTGACTTTAAAGCGAGCGCTAACCATCTGAGCTACCACGGCTCCTTATATTGTTAATTAAAAATAAAATAAAAATATATTAAATATGAAATATAGAATAAATTGTCAAAATTCCGAGACGCGTTAATATTGCGCCAAAGAGGCACTTCGCCGGGTCATTGGTAGAATGGCTTCTTAATGCTTTGTATTCAAAAGTCTAGACATATTATCTAAGGCAAAACTAAAAATATACATCCGGATAGTCTCAGACGGCGTTAGATAAATCCGGGAAAGCCCATACGAATGGCGTTAGTAGTATCGAATGAAAATGAAAAACGTCTGGTAGACCGCGTCAACTGCGCCGTACCCGAGCAGGCGCGGTGGCCCCGGCCAATGAACTCTTACGACATAGATTAACCACATTAGAGAAATATAATCGAACGACGCAATTCCACGCGAATTATGTCTGTTACTCCGTTGCCCATTGAACGCTGGTTTTGAGGCCCGTTCTGGCATAGAATAAGCGATGCTTTATGGGATACCTTGTGATTTTTATCGAGCATTTTATTGTTCTTAGGGTTTAATCAATATTACGCGAACGTAAGGTGACTGTTAATTGTACTTAGTTCACATCTAATTTTGAGTCATCGGTGGTAGTATTGGCTTTCAGAAATTCAGTTCCCTATTAATTGCTTTCCCTTTTGCTATAAAAATTTAATGTTCAATATAATGGACGAAAATAAAACGGTAATAATTAACGAATCAATTTGTAAACATTTAGGAATTGAATATAGCTTTCTATGTATTATCTATAATATCTAAAAAACTATGTTTTTATGTTAATATATTTTAAATTTATTTATCTAATTATTTGGATTCAATGTATTTTAAGTGCGCCGATATCGAAATTTCTCATGGGTACATAATTTTTATTAGCTTTATTGCTATTGAAATAATTAAGTTTAATATAGTTAATAGTCTCCTTGGTATAAATTATATTAAGTTTATTGCTATCTAAATTATTAATAGGTCTTACGTAGGGTATCTAATGCAAATTTAGTTTTTCAGTGATCATAGTACTAAACCTTGTTGTGTCGGATAACATAATTTTTTGTTTTAAATTTCATCCTACTCATGGAAACATGAGGGTGTTAGGCTTTTACATAGATTATATTAATTCAATACTTACATAATATATCATTATTTCATCTACGTTTATTGTAAACACAACGCGAAAAACGCGCGCTCGCCACGGACCTTTCTTGTTGTCCCTTGACCCTGCGTGTTGAATTTCTGGGCATTAGAGTTACCCTTTTAGCGTGAATGGCGCATATATACATCTTCGAAAAGCCCAACCAAGTTCGCCTCACTAGCTTCTGGCACTGCCTTTACCGCTGAACTTGGTAACTTCAAATCGGTTTTAAAATCTTGCGCTATTTCCCTAACTAGGCGTTGATTGGAAGCTTTTGTATCGACAATTCTGTGCTTTTCTGATATCGTCTTAATATTTTCTGATATCTCCAATGGTGCCATACCATACTGAAAAATGGAGTTTAGATAATAAAAGAACATACTTTTTTGATTATGCGTTTTCGCTTCTGCGCTTTGGTTGTTCTTTGTCGGTCGTCACGCCAGCGAACGTTAATGAAGTATTTTTTTGCGGTGTCTTACGCACGGGCGTGTTAGGCCATGTGACCTTGTATACAGAAAGCTAGACGAATTTAGACGTTACAAATAACAAAACAACGGTGGAAGCGGCCCGGCCTCCGTGTAATGAGGCCCTCTAAGGGTACGGTTGTCGTGAATTCATGCCACCTTCTCTTTAGGGCTCAGGTTTCGGTTAATGTTCGCTTCAGCTCATGCCTGTCTTATTAATTCTACAAAAGACAGTACCAGACAGTAGACAATACTAGAGGGTTTTTGCCGATTTTGTAAAAACTAGCCATTTTATGGTGCCGATATATTATAATTGTAGCACTATTGGAAACGAAACATTCTATGCTAGTCCTGAGGGTTGACAACGCAATTTCATGTTGATTCCTAATTTGGAGTAAATGAAGATGTCTATTGGCCACAGCATCCTATTATCACTTTTTTTTTTTTTTTTTTAATATATATATATATATATATATATATATATATATATATATATATATATATATATATATATATAAAAGAAAAAACATTTAAATATCGAAATTGATAAATTAATGATATAAATTTAACTCCCAGAGCCGACAGGTCTATTAACATGGTAATATACTGTCGTAGTGTAAATTGACAGATTTTAGGAGTATAATTTTTTTACATGACTAGGCAACGAACTAATATACAATTTTATACTATATTATATTACAATAAAGTAGCTGTTGAACTAACAACCTAGCTGATACGTATGCACATAATATGTGGCTTCTCAGCTGGTACACCTGCCGTCAATTTTAAACAAAGGTTACGAGTGCGTTGTCACCTCTGCGTACTTAATCTTTATTGAATATCTCTCTCCTGTAACTGTAATTATATTGACTCATACATTAAAATAGAACACTAAGGTCTCAGATTAATCTCAATTTTATTCTAGGTTTTAAATGCTTGTGTTTTATTTTTGAGGAATTTAGTAGATTATTTGGAATTTCAATTATCTAATATCTAATAATTAATTTTTATTTGTTGGTATTTATGTGCTGCCGTACCGTTCATAAGATTGCGGTAAAACTTTGTCAACATGTTGCTTGCACTTCTGTGAAGGTTACAGTTATAGTTGCTGTAGAATCCAGATATCACCCGTGCGAAGCCGGGGCAGATCGCTAGTATTAGATAAAAAGTAAAAGGGAAGTAACTTTAATTGTTATAAGTGGTGTATCGAAACTAGTATTACTTATAAAGAGATAATAGGCTTATGTGTATTGAATGGGCTGCGGAACTAAAAAGTCACGGGTTCTAATCATCTATTCGAGCAGTTTTATTCGCATCTTTATCTTGAGCTAATAGCTATATTTGTATATTTATTTTTTAAAACATTCAATCTTTATACTATGCCGCTTGATATGGAAGATGAAAAAGTCTGTCCCAATTTACTTTCAGGGAATAAATATCAAAATAGATATACCTAGGTTATTTGTTTTTTATTCTTAATTCCTTAAAAAATAAGCTCCAAATAATTCTCTAATTCTGTCCAAACTTCGGAAGTTATTATTATTACATATGAATGCGAAAAATAGATGGAAATAGGCAGGGATTTCTTGTGTCACTGACTTAAAATACTTCGCAACGTGTATTAATATAATGTGGTTTAAACGGTCACATAAACAGATTACAACCCGGTATACTCAGTGCCCCGTACGCAATAATAGTTTACAAACAAAATGGCGACCTTTCACGAAAACCACGCGACGTGTATAAGTAGCCTTTTTCGGGCTTCCTGAAGTCGTTTAAGTAACTATACGGTTGGGGTGGATGACACGGCGTGTTCATACGTGTAAGAGAATGTTTGGAGAAATACAACAAAAATAAAATTCTCCGAGATTTTGACTTAGTAAAACTGTAGTAGAGCCACGCAACTATATTATAGTTTTAACACGAATGGGTAGGCTCAACCAAAGTAGGACCAAGCTCTCACAAAACAATAGCGTTAAATAGTAGCTTAATGCTGCTTATGGTGAATGTAGGGATCCTGAGCCACTTTTTACTGGAAACGAGACATTCCATCTTAGTCTTCTGACGTGACAACGCATCTGTATTTTGATCTTAATCGAGGACACATGTAGGTACTAGATATTTATTGGCTACAGCATCCACTTACAGTCAGGGGATCTGTGACTAGGGAGCTTTAAAAATCATATTATCATCTTATTTATTTTATTACATAATTATAACATCATTACGGTTATTATATAAACTATATAAACCAATGCAATGCTATAACTAAACTAAATATAACAAATTACTGACTAATAAATAATCGTATCTAATATGAAATCTGAGTGTAAAATAAAAAACTAATTAAAAAAATTACAATTTTCAACGCATTTGTATGCTGCAATTATGAATTTCGTCAACGTGAACGGTTTGCACTACATGCAAATATGTCAATATTCTGTGAGATGATAGATGATATTTAACATAGTGTATAGCACGTGACAAGCATTCTGAAGCAACTTCGTCCTAGCGGGATGACATGAGATCTTATATATAATCTGTAATAATAATAAGATCTCATATCATCCCGTGGGTGTTGATAAGCGGCAGACAGACGACAGAATGATGGATAGTAGCGTCTTCCTGATATCAAAACTACCTTCCTAATAACAAAACTGCGCTTGCCAATTCGCCTTCCAAACATGGGAACTAAGGCAAACATTGCCTTTATGGGGAAAGAGATTCTTTTTACTGGATACGAGGTATTCCATCTCAGTCCTCAGGGGTGGCAACGTTTCTGCATTTTGATTGTTAATCAAGGATAGATATAGATGTCTATGAGCCACAGCATCCACTTACCATCAGTTGCACTGTGTGCTCGTTTGACACCCTAATTCTATTTAAAAAAATATGGGCAGGCCTTTGTTCAGCAGTGGACTTTAATGAGTTGTAATAAACTAATCAATGAGTATAATATGTTAGATAGTTTGATTATGAGTAAATAATTAAAAAAATAGTAAGCGAACTATGTACCAGCAACTTGTAACGTTCCAAGCTCACTGACGTATTTTTGATATTTATTCAGCTAGTAAATAAAATGGCAGGACTAAATAATTAGTCTCATTCAATGTTAAACATTGTAATCTACGTAACTATATTTAATTTGAGATTAAAAGTGAGCTACGTTTAATGACTCACTTATATTTATAATAATTCAGAATGCTGTGTGCACTATAACCTATGTTTTGTGTTACGCGAAACAGGTTCTATTAACATGTTAATAGTGGATAAATTTGAATATATTCAGCCCATCATGAAAAGCCATGCATAAACTGGTTATTATATTCATTGTCAGACCACATTTACATACGTAAAAATACTATATTTTAGTTTCTTAATCTTTATATATTAAATACTAGATTTTTTTATATAAGAAGTTAACGTGATGTTATTTGTTTATCATTGTTAAGGCTAAAGACATGATACATTTGGAGCCTTTTGAAATTATTACATTCTGGTGGTCGAAATGCGACCGTAATTCATAAAATTTTTAGATTTATATATTAAGCAAGCTGCATTTCACTTTGAACTGCACATTAATATATTAAAACACAGTTTATCTGCTTTGCCTTGCATAACTCAGTGTGTGCAGTGAAAAAGAGACATTTGAAATTACACAATCATCATCATCATCATTACAGCCCTTTACGAGTCCACTGCTGAACATAGGCCTCCCCCAAGGTATGCCACAAAGCACGGTCCTGAGCCCCCTGCATCCATCGACTTCTTGCATGTCTTACCAGGTCGTCACTCCATCTAGTCGGGAGTTGCACAATCACACAAAATACATAGTAATTATTTGTTATAAACATTTCAATATTAACGGTCGTGAGCCAACAGCATTCATCGACTTCCTGCATCTCTTAACAGGTGGTCACTTCATCTATAAGAGAGACATCGAACGCTGCTTACAGGGACGAGGCTGCCACTTGAGAACCTTCTTTCCCCATATCATCATTACGAAGTCTATCACAAAGAGAAAATCCGAACATAGCTTCCTTTATATCTCGCCGACAACGTGAACGGGTTGTAAATTTTTGTTTTCAAGGTTTTAGAAATGCACGAAGAGAGTTTGTTGTGTCGTAATCTCCCTAAATCCCAGTGGGATTGGACTTACCTAGTCGGACAAATTGTCCTAGGTTGGTAAACATACTCGTCAACAACTTCGACCTTAATACTCTAAACAACTATCGTCATAGGTTGTTTATATTTATTTAAAGAACTTAGGGAAAATAAAGCTTAATACCTCCTCTGTTGGGATATACTAATAAGGTCATTTGTTCATGACCATTTTAAAATCTATCCGTTAGGGTATTGAATTCTCCAGCCAAATCTAAGGTGAATAATGTACACCATTGATGTGGATACCCTATCCTTTCCAGTCCAGTAACTTGAAAACGTCTTTTAATGCATCGGTGAACCGCCCAATTTCCGACGGAATTGAAGGTGAAAAAAAAAACAATTATATATTATGCGTACATAATTTTTATGCCCGTGTACCATTCTTATTTAATTCTTGGATAACTTAATTTTAATTACAGAGTTCATATCATAAATAACCATTTAAGTTTAGTTAATTAATAGAACAAGTAATTAGGCTTCCAACGAAATTGTTAAGGTAGGTAGGTTTTTTATCAATAGGAACTGCTTGTTTAAAACTTAACGCTGAATGAATTGCTACTTATTTAGAGTAAATCGCAACCGGATATTTAATTATTTAACGAATACTGTAATTGGCATTTTCAAATCCAGTATACTAAAGAATGTTAAATTTCAAACTTTCGTACATAGTAGTTGAAATTTGTGGTTGTGGGGGGGGGGGGGTTTCATTGAGT